GACCTAACAGTTTTGCCAATGACGGTAGTGCTGTTATAGAGCGAACAATTGAAGTTCGTAGCAAAAAGCTGGCGAAATCAAAGGAAGAATTGGAGTATATTTATGAAATCGAGCGTACTGTAGAAATAGTTTTGAGTGGAGGCTATGAAAGAGTAAGTTGTGTGTGTAATTTCTAATAGTATAATAAATGCTAACCATACTTAATTTATAGATCGCACTTCAATTCCCGGACGAGCTATTAGCTGATTCAGCTGAAATTACGACAGTATTGCACGATCGAACTCGGAAAAAAATCTTTGTTTTGGCTGACACATCTTATGGCAGGTAGCTGATTTTTCCAGCCTTCTTATCTTTAAAAAATGTACTTTTTTTTTGATGTTTCTTTATTCACCATAGCTGTTGCGTTGATGAAGTTGCAGCTCAACACGCTAGTGCTGAATGCATTGTCCATTATGGCCGTTCGTGTTTAAGCCCGTAAGAAACAATATGTTTTATTTTATTTCTTTTTTGACACGCCGGAAACACATTTTTCTTAATTTGGAACAGTACTTCTCGCCTACCTGTCCTATACGTGTTTGGTAAACACCCAATAGACATTGATCATTGCTTAGAAGTATTCGATGGCTTGTTTTGTCAAGATAAAACTATAAAAATCATCATCATGTATGATGTAGTATATTCTTACTGCATCGGTGGGTATTTGTCATTGCTCATTGATCACTAGTTTTTCAAAGTAAATACATTGCCTCAGCTTCTTTTTATTAGACAAATTCATGCACAAAGTGCGAAAAGATTTGAAATACACAAATGTTATTCAATCTTTCGTCAAGACGGATTGTAATATATCACAAGGATTAAAAGGTAAACTAAAGAAGATGGTAAAGGTAATCACGCCAACTGTTAATTTCATTATTTATTTCTTAATTATTGGTAGATATGAATAGTCCTCAACTCAACGGAAGATATTATAAACTTCTTGAGGGAACAAGCATTGAATCTTACACAATCTTTTATATTGGAGAAGAAAGCGCAACATTAGTAAACATCTTGCTGACATACAATAAGTGTAAAGTACGTGGTAGCCTTTATACTCACATATATAGGTATATGTTGTCTCATAATTTAGGATTTTGCGTTGTAAGGTTTATTCATACAATCCTGAAACGCGAATAGGACACCAAGAATCACTACCGAAAAATAAATCTTTAATGAGACGGTAAGTTTCCATGTTATTCTCACCTCATTGTAATAGCTTTTTAAATCATATTCTTTACAAAAATTGATCTATATTCAGGTTTTACATGGTTCAAAAAGCTAAAGACGCAGACGTCATTGGCATAGTGGTGGGTACCTTAGGTGTAGGTAAAGTATCATACGTAAGTCCGGAGCGAAACATAATGAGTCATGTGATATCTGATGTGATACATGAATATGCAACACGAGAAAAATTCGATGTTTTTTATTCAAAATGCGTCAAAATGAGATTTTGAATCACTTTGCATAGAAATAATGCGTCCTTTGTTATACTCTGGACCACCATCTTAATATAGTCTTTCCTATTTTATCTTACAAATTCACTTTTTTTCATTAGCATATTATTTGGAAATAATCTCGCATCTCAAAAGGTTAATTATTCGTGCAGGAAAAAAGCCTTACACATTCGTGATGGGCAAACTCAACGTGGCAAAAATGGCAAATTTTATGGAAATCGATTGTTTTGTACTCGTAGCTTGTTCAGAAAATTGTTTACTTGATTCGAAGGTTTTTCAACTCATAAAATTGGTTATTTGTTTTTACGTTGTCAGCGATAATATGTAATTTTATAAATTTGAATTTCATATTTCAGGAATTTTATCGTCCAATTGTTACACCTTACGAATTAGAAATCGCATTGAATTCGTAAGTTAAATGCTTTGAGATTCGTAAAGTTTTATCGATTACTGAGATGTTATTTGACTTAGGTCGAAGCAATGGACCAGATAGTAATTGCTGAAAATCCGTAATATATTCTCCGGTCCATTGCTTCGACCTAAGTCAAATAACATCTCAGTAATCGATAAAACTTTACGAATCTCAAAGCATTTAACTTACGAATTCAATGCGATTTCTAATTCGTAAGGTGTAACAATTGGACGATAAAATTCCTGAAATATGAAATTCAAATTTATAAAATTACATATTATCGCTGACAACGTAAAAACAAATAACCAATTTTATGAGTTGAAAAACCTTCGAATCAAGTAAACAATTTTCTGAACAAGCTACGAGTACAAAACAATCGATTTCCATAAAATTTGCCATTTTTGCCACGTTGAGTTTGCCCATCACGAATGTGTAAGGCTTTTTTCCTGCACGAATAATTAACCTTTTGAGATGCGAGATTATTTCCAAATAATATGCTAATGAAAAAAAGTGAATTTGTAAGATAAAATAGGAAAGACTATATTAAGATGGTGGTCCAGAGTATAACAAAGGACGCATTATTTCTATGCAAAGTGATTCAAAATCTCATTTTGACGCATTTTGAATAAAAAACATCGAATTTTTCTCGTGTTGCATATTCATGTATCACATCAGATATCACATGACTCATTATGTTTCGCTCCGGACTTACGTATGATACTTTACCTACACCTAAGGTACCCACCACTATGCCAATGACGTCTGCGTCTTTAGCTTTTTGAACCATGTAAAACCTGAATATAGATCAATTTTTGTAAAGAATATGATTTAAAAAGCTATTACAATGAGGTGAGAATAACATGGAAACTTACCGTCTCATTAAAGATTTATTTTTCGGTAGTGATTCTTGGTGTCCTATTCGCGTTTCAGGATTGTATGAATAAACCTTACAACGCAAAATCCTAAATTATGAGACAACATATACCTATATATGTGAGTATAAAGGCTACCACGTACTTTACACTTATTGTATGTCAGCAAGATGTTTACTAATGTTGCGCTTTCTTCTCCAATATAAAAGATTGTGTAAGATTCAATGCTTGTTCCCTCAAGAAGTTTATAATATCTTCCGTTGAGTTGAGGACTATTCATATCTACCAATAATTAAGAAATAAATAATGAAATTAACAGTTGGCGTGATTACCTTTACCATCTTCTTTAGTTTACCTTTTAATCCTTGTGATATATTACAATCCGTCTTGACGAAAGATTGAATAACATTTGTGTATTTCAAATCTTTTCGCACTTTGTGCATGAATTTGTCTAATAAAAAGAAGCTGAGGCAATGTATTTACTTTGAAAAACTAGTGATCAATGAGCAATGACAAATACCCACCGATGCAGTAAGAATATACTACATCATACATGATGATGATTTTTATAGTTTTATCTTGACAAAACAAGCCATCGAATACTTCTAAGCAATGATCAATGTCTATTGGGTGTTTACCAAACACGTATAGGACAGGTAGGCGAGAAGTACTGTTCCAAATTAAGAAAAATGTGTTTCCGGCGTGTCAAAAAAGAAATAAAATAAAACATATTGTTTCTTACGGGCTTAAACACGAACGGCCATAATGGACAATGCATTCAGCACTAGCGTGTTGAGCTGCAACTTCATCAACGCAACAGCTATGGTGAATAAAGAAACATCAAAAAAAAAGTACATTTTTTAAAGATAAGAAGGCTGGAAAAATCAGCTACCTGCCATAAGATGTGTCAGCCAAAACAAAGATTTTTTTCCGAGTTCGATCGTGCAATACTGTCGTAATTTCAGCTGAATCAGCTAATAGCTCGTCCGGGAATTGAAGTGCGATCTATAAATTAAGTATGGTTAGCATTTATTATACTATTAGAAATTACACACACAACTTACTCTTTCATAGCCTCCACTCAAAACTATTTCTACAGTACGCTCGATTTCATAAATATACTCCAATTCTTCCTTTGATTTCGCCAGCTTTTTGCTACGAACTTCAATTGTTCGCTCTATAACAGCACTACCGTCATTGGCAAAACTGTTAGGTC